CACTTGTGTGACGCACTCTCTAATTTTTGCGGTATCTGTAAACTATGTCCAATAACTGTTTAAAGAATAGTAGTACAACAATAGCTTCTGAAATGACCAATAGGAGTAGGAGATGAATTTCACCAAACAGTGAAACTTAATCTAATGCACAAACACAAATAAGAAACACACAAAAAAAAACATGCCACTCATTCAATTTCCTTCATTGTATTCCAGTTTTTATGTCTTTCTTAAAAATCGCCATTTGAATTTATGTCTTGAACGGTTCATGTTCTGCGAGTAGGTATGAGTTTTTTAAATGTGGGAAAACAATAAAGCGGTTGCTATTTAAGGGTAAGGATTTCAATTTGTGCATTCTAAATTCTTTTCAGTTCCGTGTTTATTGGAGGTGTAGTATTTTAAACCATGTGGATCATAATTGAGTATAAATCTCAGATAGTAACGTAGCATTATGTTTAGTGCTTACAGCTGCTTTGTAGTAGTTGGTTTCGCACTTTCTATTAACTTTTCTGGAAACTGGATATTAGTAACAAACTTCAGTCAAACCATCTATGATGCACAATAGAATAGTGTATTATACACTACAGTTGTAACCGACGTATGTTTACATGGTAGTTTTCAGGAGCGATAGTTGCGTTATCAAACTTGAGATCGGAAAATCTTCGAAGTTTTCTGCGATTTCAGGACAATATTTCAAAGCCAAAATCCAAGGCGGTTCTCCGTTTCTACTTAGTTGACGAAAATCTTCAGCACAAACACCCATTGCGAAGACTTTGAGATCGTCTGCAATTATTTGGAGATTTAGAGATCAAGCAATCATATTACGGAGATCACCAACTTCGTTCGGGTTCGCAAAAAACTCTTCATTTCAAGAGCTCGTACGTTATCCAGAATCTAGACATCAGATGAAGGTAATAAGTTGACTGAGTTAATTTGAAAACAATCAAGAATGATTCATAACTACAGAGGTTTGGAAATATATGTGTTAACTAATCGTTGACTCATTTAAAATTCAATTTTGACAACGTTATTCATGGGATTGGACAGGATAGTCAAAAAATGCTTGCGACGTAGAATACCTGGCAACATCCGTTGGTTTTTAGATGAACCAAATGACTGAAGAGTAACACATACCTATGGACTAGGGAATATATGCCAATAAACATCGTCTTGAACCAGAATCATAATGAGAGCTAACTGGTAAAATAGTACTGTGGAGAAACCACTTCATGATCTCTTGGATATCACCAAAAACACCTCGATAAGTATCATTATTCTGTTGACTGAAGACTGTAATGCGTTTTATATAAGTTTCAAGGTCCTGAAGTAGCAAGTGAATTAAAAGCTTATTTCGTTCACCTTTATAAACTGTATTATGGCGAAAAACGTTTGGTCACTTTTGTGCCTAAGAAATGCCCTTTCAACAGAACCACTCTTATTTTTGATTTATCGGATAGTATCACAACCAACACAGAAATATGCCACTGTTAATTAAAAGAAACTAATTGCTTTGTACAGGATGCAAATTTTACTGGTGGCAGCTACTAACAAAAGTCAATTAAACAAAATTGAAAACATCTTCAGATGTTTATTTCCAACAAAAGTCCAAATATCAATGTCAGAAATAAATATCCAACGTACATCTCATCGTCCTGCTTCACACTATCATCCTAACAACTCAAATGCAAGAATGGGTACCAGTTAACCAATCCTAGGCGCGAACTGATAAGTATAAACTCCGTTGACAGCTAAGCCAACAACAGATACAGGAACGCCTTTAGACACGCACGTGGTCCACTCTACCACAGCTTTTCTCTCCGTTTTTTCGTAAAGTTTTGTTCTTCAATTTACTCGGCAGCTCCTATTTGTCAAGCACTTTGCCCTATTCAGGGAGTCACAGGTCTCTGAAAGATAGACTTATTGAATGTTTCCATCGAAACGAGATAAAATGCGGTACTTCTAAAGCCACATATGTCATTTAAACGACCTCTTTCAGCGTTTGCGGGTTGATACTGATCGAGTAGCAGACAAATTTGACAACGTATTTCGGAAATCCAAATATTAAGGTATAACGTGTTTCTGAGGCCTGCAATCAAGATTATACTGAAGTTCTAAGCACCCGAGGGCATTTTAACACTGACATGCAGTTTGTATTATGTTTGTGTTGTATTAAACATAAGAGCAAATTAAAGGACTAGTCATTTTGATATCAATCAATAGACGCTTATGTGTCTTTAGATTATATGAACAGTGACCTGTTTTCTTAACCTACAACAAATTGTATATTTCAAGGGATCAGGAGTGGGCCCGGCATCTCACAAATCTAAAAGATTTCCTTTCATAGATATTGTGATCATAGCTGATTTAAGTGAAAAAGTCGGGTTCCGAAGTATAAGCGAGATACCCCTGTACATATCCGTGAACCAATTTAAAGACACAATCACCACATTTCATTAACCGTGTAGCGGTAAATAAGTCCCAAAAATCAATACAACTGTAGGTTTTCGACATTTGACACAGACCGCACAAGTTCTAGTGGATCCATCTAGCATACACACCAGATCACGATTGGGTACGCCGTGCTACACATCTCCTGTAACCGTTAGCCAGCTTAGATTAGTCACTTCTCGATGTTCTGTCAAGCATACCTCTGGACACCTTCACTTCTGATTCCAGTAGGTTGGCACGTTTCCACTATAAAAGGTGATACCGTACATGTTGTTGTCAAACTTTGAATACTTGGAGCATCTTTAATCGGGTCCAGCATTGGATTTATGTACGTATGTAATCAGAAGTATTCGAAATGATGTGCCAAATAAGAACAGTTCCACCTAATATAGGTGGAAATAAATGATCATAGATAAACTTCTTATATTAGGCATTCGCAACAAGTGTGCAATCAAAAAACAAGGAAACCACCAAATAGTACAAATATCACAATAACCACAGCTTAAATGAGAATCTAGATTTATACGAACTACTAGATGTATTCTCTGTACATCCATCATGTATCTGTTTGGCAGTGTACTGGGTGCAGAACATGTATGATCTAGAATGTAACCATTAGCATTAGGATCAAAAACGGACGCACTTAGGTCCTTGTAACATAGTTAACTGGTGTTATTGGCATTCGCAAGAAACATAGATTTGGCAATATTTTTGGGTCATTAAAGATCAGTTGCACGATGGCGTTTAGCCTCAGCAGACTGTAAATGTTAAATGTCCGAACGAACACATTTTTTTAAGCGATTCTATCATTATCAACACCAAAGAATAAGTTTATCACCAGTAATTCTGGTAGGCCTAATCATTTCAGCCTCCAAAGACCCTGATACGGCTGGGCGTGATGAGGGCCCACCCTACCTCTCGAATGCTTTCGCATGGCCACTCGTATACAGCCTCTGCCAGGGAAGTCCTACTCACTGCCTTCTCTTGGAGGGGGTGCTGCTTACGAAATTGAGAGGACGAAAAGCAAATATTTGGCGCTTTAACCTGACCGGTGAGTCCACCTAGGGGATTTGGGAAACTGACTCCAAACCAAAGGCGCACATGAGCTCAAGGTTCCTGAGGGAGCACATGACATATGAACCAATCGTTAGTCACAGACTAACATGGGAATGAATCTCCTGAGGTCGCTCCATTACCTTGTGAGTCAGGTTAAAGGCCCGGGATATGGTTCCCTAAGAAAATCACTTGCTTCGGTCTGGTCACCCGGGCAGTATCACAGCCATCACCCAACTAAAATGAAATGAAGTGTGGCACATATATATCTGGTGCCCTCTTGTACCAATATTTATGTGTTCAAATAAACAAGGATTTCAACTATTAGGTTGAAATGATTGATTCGATACTACTAGTGTCAACAATAAGATCATGTAAAGCATCGAATGCGGGGAAATTAATCGAAAATGTAAATAATGACAGTATGTGATTATTAGGACCATGGGACTCAATCAAATCCGAGTTAAAGGTCTTATCACCATTGGTTAAACAACCCGACGTGATGCGTCTGATTTCGCCACACATGGATTACGCTTTCCAGTCCTTTAATGAATTGTTTCTCAAGTTTTTAGAAGAATGGGGATTATTACTAAACACCAGCCCAGACTTTAAGTGCGCATCGGATTACGAGAACTAAGTAATGTAGTGAGATTAATTATATCCTGAAAGTCAGTTTCATGCTCTTCCTCATAATAAATACATGCAGTTCCAGCATATTGAAAGGAACATATTGGCATTAGTATAAGCTCTCTATCCATAACTGATATGTTAATTACTGCGACTAATAGACCACACATTTGACAACTCGTTTCTGTAATCCGATGATAAGCCCTTTGAATTTTTATCTGTCCTGACGAATCATTTCATGAAATTGTGCTCTTTCGTGGTATTCAAAATTAGTACTCCTCACAAAACTTAGTAGTAGATTTTTGAGAACAGCGTAGGGAAGTGAAATAGGCTTATTTAGAAATGTTAGTTTTTAGCAAGCTGTAGGCATCCTTTTGTATGAATTTAAAGAGATGGGTCACAATTTTACCATATTTAACATAAGGTTGTAGGTAATTACTTAAAAGTTTGCAAACTAGTAAGTGCTAATTGACTATATACAGATCGTGTGCTACACTTAAGACTTGCCACTGTCTGAAATGTGGAAGAACAAGACACACGTATGCTAGAACTTACTCTCTGAAATAGAAGAACAAGACCTCTACGATATCTTATTCGGCACATATATTTTGCGACGTATATTCCGTAAAATAAGGATCAGAGAACAATTTTTGCGGTTGAAGATATGTAACCACTAACAACTATTATAGGCATTTTAATAGTCATTTTCATTTATTATATGCAAATGTAAGCATTTTGTAGTTTAAACAAACGAAAGGAAAGTATCTAAGTATCTCACGGTCAAATTCCCTACTGTACTGGGAATATAGCTCTGAATAGACAGGTTACCGTCACTAAACAAGATAGATGAAATTCCCATTAGAATTATGATAATCGGTTTAGCTTCAATTAATAATAAATAACAGTTTTCGGCTGAAAACTAAGTGAAGTATTTAATTACAGCTGAATTATTTGGTTCGGATATTTGATTTGATTAATATAATTCACACAACGTAATGATGAATGGTTTATGAGGTCTTTAATGACAAAAACCAACGTACAATTATTCATGAATCTTCTTAAGGTTAAATTGAACTCCCTACCAATAAAAAACGATGGCAAACAGTTGTAATGCATATAAATAAACCAAAATATTACGGAAGAATCAAAATCTATAGAAAAATTTACATTACACGTGATTAAGTGAGAACACATAATTTAGAGAGTAACCATTAATAAATGTACAAAGTAGCTAGTATTGAAACTGATTTTCTTATCATATACGTTCAGCCAAAAAAATACTTGCTCGACAACCCGCTTTAATTATTTGAGACATGATATTATAGAAAGGAGCCTGCAATAAAACAAAAGATTGTAAGACAACATGACAAGAGTAGAGTTTAAATCTTAAAAAAAGATTAAATTAAAGAGGTAACTATTCTAAGTATGAACTGTCGTTTAAAAAAATAATTGAGTGTCTGAAAACACCTTAAATAAGACTAAACTTAGCAATTAAGAAACATGTCAAAGAAATTATAAATTGCAAATCGCAACCCTTTAGGCAGTCTGTCAAACATTTTGTTGGATGGTTATCAGACCAGTTTTTTGCATAACACTAGAACTTTTCTATGAAGTCAATAACTTGATCATTAGTCTTATCACTTAAACCCCTTTATTCATGCTGTAGAACTGTACTTGTTATTTAATTACATCGAAATGGTTTTACTGTAGTAATACTGTGATATAATCATTATGTCCAATTACCATATACAGAAGAGTTTTAAACGGATATTTTTCACTCTAGATTGGATTCGTCTACAGCTTCACATGCATATGAAAACTGTACATTCTGTGCCTTACTTCGATACGTCAAAAGCATATGATTAGGAATTCGTTGTCTCTACAACCACCCAATAATGTACTAACATAATTAGCTTGGATATAAATCAATAAATAATGTCAATAGACGATTGTGTTTGTTGAGTACTATGAAGAAAAAGTTACTTCATTGAAAGGTATTTAACCTAATAAAAAGTGAATAATCTTTCTTAGATTTAATACCATTAATTTAATAACTAGTCGGAAAGTAACTAAAATTACTGACTGCGTGACAGATTAATGAGGACTGAAGGACAAAAAATTATTTACACTAACCACGAATTGATAAGGACTAATTTTAAACAAATTTACACGATTCCGTTCAATTTCTTATTCTTGCCTTACTTCAAGTTTATAAATAAAAATATGATAGTGAGGCTAATGTGAACTCAGTGATAGAAAGAAGCACCTTACTCCTAATTTTTGATTTATCCGAAACATACTTGTAAGCACTGACACAAAATAAAAGATAAGCGTTAGCTAAATTATCCAATGAGTTCTATTTATTTAATCATGTTGAATATATTCCCAATTATACATTGTATAACTGATGCCATCATCAAATTATCGTGTTTCATAAAAGCACTAAACATCATATAAGTTTTACTCATGGTTGTTGATAACAACCAAAAACATTTTTGACTAAATGAAAACAATAATTTTTGATAGAAAAAATAAGGAACTACATATTACTGTATGAAAATTTATATAGGTCTAATATACTTCGTCTTTTCAGAATACCATCTAAGCCCATCGTTATTTTACTGTTAAATTAACGGACAAACGATGCATGAGACACACAAACTATTCATACCTCCCTGCGATGTATAGATATGTGTGAAAGAGAATGATTTATAATAATAAAGAAAGGAGATTAAACTAAATTTTACCATAATGAATCTTTGTTTGAAGAGTTCGAAATAAGGACATACGATGTCAAAGTTTTAGGTTCATAAGTTACCAAAAACCACATTTATGGTAAGACGTTAATAGTATAGAAGTAAACGACAGACATAATTAAGACATTAAACAGCTGCATCACCTGTTTAACAATCAAGTTAAAAATATATACTTTCTACACTATACATAATGTATACTAAAGTAGACTATTTTTAATTTTATCTTTAAATTATACATTCATAATAACTTACCTGTTCAGCATCATGTTCAAGGCCTGTATCATGATGCTCCATTTCTTCATCCCGAAACTGGGCTAGTGTCTAGAAGCATGCAAAACCAATTAAAATATATTTTATGATACTTTACCAATGAGTATTTAAAATAACATAAAGTTTGAAAATAAAACTATGCTGTGCTCTTGGATATTGTAATTGCAGGTGACGTTAGCCTCCAAGGAAGTAGGATAAGTTAAACCAAAGCACGTTAGGGTGAGTCGTTATGGGTCTCGATCGCGCGAGACTGAAGGCCCTGGGTTCGAATTCCGCGAGCGAGATCGTGGATGCGCACTGCTGAGGAGTCCCACAATAGGACGAAACGGCAGTCCAGTGCTTCCAGGTTTTCAATGGTGGTCTAACATCAATCGGTTCATGATCTCAATCAAAAACTTAGCAATCTCCACAACTTATAATTTAATAGTCTGCAACTACCAACGCAGCTCAGACTTTTAATGAATGACTCAAAGGATAAGCAAAGTCTTAGTGATTCAATTATTGTGCCAGCGGAACTATATGTGAATAGATTATATATATTTGTGGTGAGTAGTATCATGTAACATAACTAACTTTCAAGGAGAAATATGCGAAACAACTTGTGTGTAGTTAGTATATTTTGTAAGTGATCTTTGAATCAGAGACACTTAGTAATTAACATCCCTGCGGTAAACCAACCAATTAAATGACTTGCATCAAAATACAGAAATATTTTGGAGGAGTTTTGTTCTCTGAGATGGATGGTTTGCTCGTGGAGCTTTCATCGTTATTTTGAACGACGTCATCAGCAGCATAAAATTCAGGTAGAAGTGAAGTGTTCGAATTTATCCATATATGGCTCACAGCTTGTCCTGTAGACCTCGATCTTCATTGGTTATTGTTGACCCTTAACTTGTCATTGTTTACCTCTTTATTTTGATCATATCGGCCACTGATTTTATTCCGATATACTTGGGTCTCAAGTTTTCTTGTGTTGGTTCTGGTCCCATATTTGTCCATAATTTTTTTGATTGATTGATAAATTGGATGGATTTCAATGTGTTTGTTGATTGCTGATTAACCTGAGTGCCAAGCTTCTAAAATTCTCTAGTGTTTTTAGAATTGCCTTTATGCAAGATCTCAGCATTTTCCCAGTCGAATGTGCATCCACAGTTGTCCAAAAGCATTGATATAAGCGAGTATATGTCATGACGTTTGACCGCTAATTGATGTTCATGCAGGCAAAGATGAAGATGACGTCCGCTTTGTCCGATTTAGTGTTTTTCACAGTTAAAACAATTTATTTTGTAGATGATGTTCGGTTTTTCTTCTTTTCTCCTTTCGTCCTTTGATTTGTGTAGGATCGATTTAAGTGATTCTGTTGGTTTGTGTGCCACACCTATTCCAAAAGGCTCCAACAATGTCGCTACAATTCCTGGTATGTTTTTTACATATGGTAGGGTGATCCATTTGTTGGTTTCTATACTTGATTTTGTTTCTACTGAGGCGATTTTTTGGTATTTTTTGATGAAGATTGAATAGCCGTTTTAATGGGAGATTGCCTTTAGATATTAATTCCATTTTTCTGCGCTCAAAGTGTGTTGCAGTGTGTCCTCACCCTCTTGAACAAAGTTTGTACGCAGTTGATTTTGTGGGCTCTACGGTCGTTGTTACTGTAATTGAGAATTTGATCTGTGTGGGTTGGCTTTCGATACACTTGATTCTCCAGTTTTGCTGTGCAGGTTCTGGTGATTAATACATCCTGTTCCAGGAACAGGAGTTAAACAACAAACCATCAACCTTGGATGTACACAGAATCTACAAATATAAAAATGAAGCTAATGCTAAGCTGATTTCAGGCTCCTATTAAACACAAGTAAACTAGACATGAAAGACTTCTGCATATGTTTTTGAGCAAAGAATTAATCACACAAATCTTTTAAATGTTCAAAATTAGGACAATATATTTGAAATGATCTTGATTCGCTTTGACCATACTTGGAAAATCTTTATATCCAAGTTAACAATAATCGAACTCCATTTCGAAGGTGGAAAGATTGGACCATAAGGTGTACGGAACTATTTTACGGACAAGAATTTAACAAGCATGAGATCAGTTGTTATAATATCTAGTTAAGTATAAAATGTTAGGTAGGAATAGTAAGCCGGTTGACTGAATTATCCAATTCTCACTAACTTAGGTGGTTGAAACTTTGTTAGTGCCATACCACAACCTAAAACGATGCACAATGCTACAAGTAGCTAAACAAAGATACGGGACTGAATCATGGATTTAATGAATGATGTACTGAATCATGTCAGTGGATGTAAAATTCCAAGACAGAGTCTGTAATGATCGTAATCTTTGGTTGGATAAAATAGTTTAGAATGGTGAACTTGAATTTATTACCTCTCTTTTTCTAGATCTTTAATACTACGTTTTTCCAAACTTTCAATACTTTTATCGTTCCCTTTTAAATCATGTTTCTACTATAAAGCTTTACATTGAATTCGACATTATTTCTCACCTATCTTTGTTTGTTTAGCAATTTCCTCTCTTGATGTTATGTGGAATGCAGCAACTCGGATCGATGAAAATTCGCGCCAGGTTCTACGTTCTTTATAACTGATTAACAAGAAAAGTAGGATCAAATTACACTGTTGTACACCAACAAATATATAAAACCAAACAGTAAACTATCCAAATATCAACTAACCTGCAGCAATTCTTGATAGGTTTCAGGGTCACTTTCAACAAGCTCACGAATTTGATTGTTGTAGTGTTCAGAAATCACTGACTCAACAGCAACGGTACAGGCCATAGCACATTTCGAACCCAAAAGCGCACTTCCCACACCTAGTGTAAACCCAGCAATGCTCCACAAAGGCAAAAGTAATGTAGGCCTAACTCTATGAATAGGAATAAGTTCCTGGAATTTTTTCAAATGTTCCACTTCTTGATCATGCATTTCCTATGAATAAAGTACAAAATTATCACTACAGGTTTGCAAACATTTCATGTATTATGAGAATACAAACTACTATATCTAACCACCAGTGTCGGACATTATTAAAAAAACATGGGACAACTTGGAAAGACAAGAGCAATCTAATGTAACTCAGAAACACGAAAATTATAACACATCGGTTAAATGACTCTTTTTAAAAGCATGCATATGACTAGTATCTTTGGGATTTCTTGTGATGAAAGTAACATAAATAAAAGCACCCGAAAGCCACATATTGAATATAAACTCAGAAAATTATGCTTTTATCGTTCAGCAATCATGATATAACATTATAGCCATGCACCGAAAGATATCTTGGAATTCGAACGAATACATCAATAGATGAGTTGACTTTCTCAGACACGCCCGAAATTCGGAACTAAGTATTCTTTAAGATGCAATGATGCTCTGGTACGGCCGAGAGTGGGGAGAGTCCGCTCACCCTCTTGAAATGTTCTCACATGGCCATGTGTATATAGCCTCTGCAGTCAGTCAGCTACAACGTAGGACCAGGCACATATATGCATCGGTCCAAGTTGCCATACCTCATTAACACAACAAGATGGACACCGGATTCGTAAAAGTAGTTAATTCAGAGGTGGTAATATATAAAAGAAAGATTGCAATAAGGATATAGTACAGGAAGAAAGAATTAGCTCGTAGAAAGATATGAAGCGATTTTAATCTCTTATTTTAAGGGAAGACAGAGAGTGTATACACTGACGTCATTGTGATCGATTCTGAGCCATGTCACAAGGAATCTCCAAGAATTGGTCACGATAGTCACGCAGACCTCAACCAAGTAGTCTGCATCTACCAACATGGCTCAGACTACAAGTTAGTGACTTCAAGCACTGATGCCACGTTTTAGTTTGGCCGCCCCTAATTCTCTTCCAACCATCCCCAACACCTGTTAGGATTGCACGTTGTGGTAATCGGTGTTCTGGCATACGTAACACGTGGCCCAACCGTCTCAGTCGATGAAGATTCACAACCTCATCGACTGATTTACCATAATTCCCTAATACCCTGCGTCTAACCCCACTATTACTTACCCGGTGATCCCAGCAGACGCCGGCAGTATTTCTGAGGCATCTGTAGTCAAATACTAGTAACTTACGAATGTCTTCTACTCTTAATGGCTATGTTTCGCTGCCGTAAATTAAAACAGAACGGACTGCCGAACAGTATACTCGTCCTTTAATTGATTGGCGTAGGAACCAATCGTTGGTCACCGGCTACCACGGGACTGAATCACCATAGGATCCTCCGCTGCCTTGTGGATCAGACCTTCAGGTCGAAGGCTCCGGGTGTGGTCCCCTAAGAAAACCGCCTGCTTTGGTTTGGGCACCTGGGCAGTATCACGGCCCTCACACATATCAAACGAGATTTGTGTGGCGCATATGTATTTGGTGCCTCCTTGTACTAATATCTATGTGTGGCGAGACTCTAATTTATGTACGAGCCACTCAGAGGCGTTGTAGGGATTTCAAGGTTACGGCGCAAACTTCAGTGCTTAATGCTAACGTACGATCGGTTCACAGGGAATTTTGTACAAAACGTGATAATTGAGCGGCTATAACAAGTAAAACGGCGGGACTATAATTTGTGGACGAAACAATCAGGTATAAGATAATAGATCTCGGATTTTAACGCGAAAGCCTTTCACCCATTTGGCCAAATAAATTTCTGGCACTAGAGCTGCTGTCAGTCCGTGATGAAAACCCTATATATAATTCCTAACTAAGGCAAACTACGACAATTATTGCGAACTGGATAATAAAAGCACCAGTAACATTGGCTGCGGCCAGGTACTACAATATATACGGATGTTTGGAGAGCGTACAGACTCCTACATAGGCTTGGTTGTGTGCGTCCTGTCGTTATCCATAAGTGGCACTTTGTGCACTCAACAACCGGAGTGCACATTAACAATATTGAAGCTATGTGGTCGAGGCTGAAAGAGTTTTTGAGACTTTATCATGGCTCCAGAGGCCAACTATTCTGTAGCCGTATGGATGATTTCTTCTACTGAATGGATTACGACTTTAGAACCTCTTTCAAACCTTGACAAGTTTTTGAACCACATTATTTCCTTGGTTTTGTACAGCATATTTTTACTCTATACTGACTGTTTGTTGATTGACTAATATTTTTAAAGGTCGCTTAAAATTCGTTCAAAGGTCGTCCATAAATTAGAGTCTCACCAATGAATGTACTGAGTATATTGGGCGTTACTACCGAATTAATCAAGTCCAACGCGAGTAATTCCATTTGGGTGAGTTCGAAAGTGTTCATAACCACAAGTAATGCCAAAAAAACGAAGTGACGGAGCTGCTGGATTCTTACTAAAGTCTAGTTTGACCAACCAAAGGAGCGGCTCTAAAGTCCATTCCGTAAAATAACTGACATCATATCAGATTCAGTTTTGTGTAGTGAGGACAGAAGGCCTACGGCCTATGTTATTCCTTTTCTAGTATGCTTCTGTGAGTGTCCAGTCTTCTCTTGAAAGAGTCAATTGAAGGTGCGGACACCACTGCTTCAGGCAGCAGGTTCCAAGTTTTGATGACTCGGTGTGAAAACCTGTATGCCACGGGTATTTTGTTCGTTCTTGGCTTTTCTACTCGCCTGCTATGTCCTCTGAGGTGTCCCGATCTAGTGGGAAGAAAAAGAGAATAAGTTAGGTCCGAAATCATGTCTCAATATTCTATACATCAATATTAGATCTCCCCTTAGTCTGCGATAGGACAGAGTAAAGAGGTTCAGTTTTTCAAGCCGCTCTTTATATGATAAACCCCGGAGTTCCGGAATTGCACGCGTAGCTGCCCTCTGCACTTTTTCTAGTATGTCTGAGTCACCTTTTAAACAGGGGCTTGCAGCCTGAACACAGTTCTCTAACTTAGTTCTCACTAAGGATGTGTATAATGTAGTGAACATGGTAGTATCAAACTTAGTGAATGTCCTTTTTAAAGCCCAGAGGGTTCGAAACCCCTTAACCGAGACCTCCCGGCAATGGGCCGTCGTCTTAAGATCATTGCTCACTGTCACCCCTAGATCCTTATGAGACCGGACTACGGGCAATGACACATCCCCTATGTTGTATGTATTAACCTTTGAATCCCCTAAGTGCATGTAGACACACTTTTCCGAGTTGACAGGCATCGGCCACTCTTTAGACCAGTTTATCATATTATTTAAGTCCGCCTGAAGAGTAAATGCGTCTTTGTCTCCAGTTATTACTCGCCAAATTTTTACATCGTCAGCGTATAATAACATTGGAGACTGTACTATACTTGTAAGATCATTAACGTACAATATAAAATGTAAAGGACCTAGGACTGAACCTTGAGGTACCCCACTAAGTACTGGTCGCCAGATGGAGCACTTGGAATTTATTCTTATTTTTTGCCTACGACCTACTAGGAAATCCTTAATCCATTTTAAAAGAGGTCTGGCAATACCAAGGTTTGCCAACTTCAATAGCAGTCTATTAGTTGGCACCTTGTCAAAAGCCTTACTGAAGTCTATGTAGACAACATCCACTGAGTTTCCGTTGTCTAGCGCATTAATCCAGAGCTCCCTAGCTATAAGGAGGTTCGTTGTACAGGATAGACCCTTTCTAAAACCATGTTGTGCCATGTTCAGCAAGTTATTTGTTTCCATAAATGCCGTTAAGGTCCGTTTGATTATTCTTTCCAGTATTTTAATTACAACACTGGTGAGGCTTACGGGTCTGTAATTCGATGGAACTTGTCGTGGACCTGTTTTATGTATGGAAGTGACGATTGCGTCCTTCCAGTCCATAGGTAACACACCTTGGTCAAGTGACATTTTGAATATCACAGTCAGTGGGGCTGCGATATATTGGGCTATATGTCTCAAGATTTTAGGGTGTAGTTCATCTGGTCCTGTTGACTTTTCCATATTTAGGGTGCTAAGAGCCTTAAGCACATCGTTTTGGTCGAAGTCCACGGTGAGCAGCTGGTTTGTTGACTCTGTAATTGGGTCCGGTTCTTTCTCTAGAGGAGGTTCCTGAGTGAAAACTGCCCCAAGATAGTCAGCCATAACCTCAGCTTTTTCCTGATCTTCCTCTATCAGTTCAGATTCACTTCCTACTTTAATTAGGTTGGGAATCCAATGATGAATCCTTGTTCTGTAGTTTATGTACGAGAATATCCTCTTGGGCTGCTTGAGTGCAGATTGTGCCAGCTGCATTTCATAATTTCTTTGCGCTTTACGAATTTTAGTTATACACTCGTTTCTTATCGATCTGTAACGTTCCAGCGTACCCGCTGTGCCAAGGCGGATGGCAACATCCCAGCATTTCTTCTTTTGTCTTAGTAAGCGTCGAATATCCCGTCCTATCCAGGGATGTCCGTGCTTCTTTTTCTTTGGGACAGTCCAGGGTATGTATGGTTGAGTTACCCGATTGTATAACTGCCTGAATAGAGTCCATGCTTCTTGTACTGATGCCTTTGAGTCAATTTCCCAGTTCTCAGCCGATGCTGCGGAGTTAATTACCTGCATATCTGCCTTCCATATGTTAGGACGGGCCGGCGCAATTGTTTGACAAGCAATCTCAACCATGAATTTGAATAAGATGACTGCATGGTCACTTCTCCCAAGTGGTGGAAGAAAAGCCGTTTGACCAACGTCATCGCCGTGCGTGAAGACTAAATCTAAAATAGAAGACGAGTTTCTTAAGTCGTATCTTGTGGGATCTCTAATGTGTTGTAATAATGCTAGTCCAATCGAGGTTTCTAACAGTTTGGAGTCGAAAGACGATATGGCTGACCCTACTTCTAAGTTTACCCAGTTTATATATGGTGCAAAGTCGCCTACTACAAGGCTTTTACCGTTGTTACACCAGGACTTAAGTTTACTTAGGAGAAAATCATCTGCTACACTTTCTGGACTGCGATAAACTACAACTACTTCAATATCTTGCCTTCGGCATTTCAACTTACATCTCACTAGTTCACATGTCCCTGAAACATGTGCTACTGTCTCAGCTAATCTTATGGTTAGGGTACTTTTCGTGTACACAATAACCCCGCCTCCCCTTCGGTTTAATCTATCAGCCCTACTGGTTATGAAACCAGTCAACTGGATTTCACTATCTAATACTTCTGACGTTAACCAAGTTTCCGAGACAGCGATAACGTCCAGTTTTTCCTTATCCACCACTGACTTCAGCTCCGCCATTTTATTTAGTAGGCTGCGAGCATTCGTGTAGCACTCTTTTAAGTCTGTGGAGAGCTTTCCCTTGCCACCCAGAGTGACTTGGGGATCGTTTTGCTCCGAACTTTTATAATCTGAAAACTCTTAAGAACGAGGTTTCTTTCACCGTTTCGGCGACGCTCGTTTATTTCCGCTCCTGCATCTCTTCTCTTAATACGATCAGCTAGGCTGAGATCCTCACGGACATATATTCCGGATCCAATCAGTTTACGTGAATTACTTAGAATCAGGTTCCTTTCTTCCACCGTGTTGAATGTAACCTTTAGGAGGCGGTTTTTCTGAGGACTTTCGGAATCCACCTTTTTTCCTATTCTATAAAGCTTACAAATACTAACTCCTGAAACTGTATCTGGGAGTAGTTTACTTAATGATGTCTTAATATGATTGAGATCATGTTCAAATCTTGCCTTTGGTTCAGTATCTGAAGATTCTCTTATCTTATGAAAAATGACTGATCTATCAGAGATCTGTCTTGTCACGCGGTGAGGATTTTTCTTCTGACAACATTCCTTCCAATGTCTTGCTGACCAGCTGCGTTTTGCCTACAGCTTTTTTATTTTTTTCCTTCTTACCGAAGTCCATCTGTCGCCACTCAGAACAGAGACACCTGGACTATGTGGAACGGTGACAGTTTTATCCGGATCTTCTATTTCGACTAGAGGTGTATGACTGCCGATGTCAATATCAAGCGACACTTCATTCCTCGTTAATGTCAACAGAGATTTCACGTTCCCGTCAACTGCGGTCTATTGTTTAACGGGTCCAGTAGCAGCACTTACTACACTGCCACATTCTTCATCGTCAGTGCTCCTGTTATCAGTGCTTCCGCCATCGTTTTTCTTGCAGGCCAAAGCCAATAGGCCCATAGCCTCCTGCATTAGTACCTTTTTATCCGTACAGCAGAACATACAAAGCCAATGCGAGTTAGGCTTCGAGCATGTTTTGTAAGCCGTCGAACTTAGTCGTGTACACATTTTGTGGTACCACTTTTTACAATCGTCACACTACATCCCCTCCTCAACGGAGAACAAAAAAATTGGTTGCCCACATTTGTGAGTCTTACCAACCATTTTAATTCGATTTAAGAGCTTTAAAAACAAAAAATGATAACAATGTGAGCACAAGTGTTAGTCAATGACTAAAAACAGGTACTCAGGACAAAACTTAGCAAAAAAATTCAAACTTTAACCAAAGTACTCTTAGTTAAAGTAGACCAAGAATGCTTTTTAGTGCAATAAGTACCCAAAGCAAGTATAATCACAACAAGTACAAAAATCACTGCCCTCTTTGAAACTAGCGCCAACAATAATCCTAACAACAATCCTAATTCACAATTCTTGAAATAGTGAAGGCAAAACCACATTCAACTGGCAAAGCCCTAGGATCGTTAGCTATAATTTGTAGTATATATGAGTTAAATTAAGATCATAATGATAATTAAACATGTGATATGTAACTTTGTTAAAAGGTTACCTTTATTTTAGGGCCTATACTCGATTTCCCAAGTACCATGAGCTGTCCTTGGTATATCCTATTGGCACCTAACTCTCCTGCATGATCAACTCTAATAATCCGATCCACCAGAGCCCTAACCTGTGGAGAAACCGACCTAGACATTTTCCAGTGTTGATACTGGCGCGTCAAAATACGACCTTGTCATTGATGCAGCTATACGTCCAGTCTTAGATCATTAGTATTAAGGGTAGGAGATCTATCGACCTATATTAATCCTTGCAATCTGTAATACTGAAGAGGTCCAATTTTGTTTTGAATATATTAACAGAAGGTGCTGATATTAGGTGTTCCGGTAGAAAATTCCAGTGGGAGAAACGAAAATCCAGACGTAAACGAATTGATCTCAGTTTCTGGACTTTCTTCGAATGTCCTCTCAAATGATCAGTTCTAGATGGAAGCAAAAGATAAGACATGTTAATACCAAAGTCATCGTTCAGTATACGATAAGCTAATATTAGATCACTCCTTATTCTACGATAAGATAACGGAAATAAGTTAAGGTGTCTCAGTCTGTCTTCATAAGATAGGCCAGGTAGGACTTCTACCATCTTAGTACCTCGTCGTTGGACTCTTTCTAGAATATCTGCTTCATACTTGGAACAAGGACTCGCTGCTGGAATCCCATATTCTAAATGTGGTCGCACATAAATAGGGTATAATAATCTAAACATTTCATCATCTAAATACTGGAAGGACTTACGAATAGACGATAATGCATCATAGACTTTCGCAGCAGCAGCTTTACGGTGACTAGTGATTTTGAGATCACTGCTTAGTATGATTCCATTTGCCCCATTTACCCTTACCCTTTGTCTCCTGTCATGGAGAAAGTTACTGATCGAATTTACAATTGTATAATGGATTCCAAAACGTTCCAGTCTGAATTTAAGACCAGAGTGGGAGACCTTGTCGAACGCCTTACTTTGAATTATGAAAATTACATCTACAGGAATATTCCGATCTTTTGCAGCAGACCAACCTTCTCTTGCGATGAGATTTGTCAAGCATGATAGGCCTCTCCTAAAACCATGTTGCTCCCTGGAGAAAAGATTATGCCCTTCAACATAGTTTATAAAAGATATCCGAATGATTTTTCCCACCAGTTTTACAACTGCACTAGTTAAGCTAACAGGATTATAGTTACAAACTAAATCCCTACTCCCAGCCTTATACACTGGACTTATTATAGCGTATTTTTAGTCTCTTAGCAGTCTAGATTGCCTCAGAGACATGTTGAACTGTATCGCTAATGGTTCAGCAATTACATCTGATATGACTTTCATAGTCCTAGGATGAATATCATCGGGACCACTGGACTTATCAGGTTTGAGATGCTGAAGTAGCCTTAAAACAGTAGCTTTCCCAATGACAACAGGGTCCATCAGCGAGCCGCCGCGGTCACAATGAATCGTTGGTCGTTCCTCATTGTCGATAGAAAATACTTTACTGAAATATTCCGATAAAGCTTCAGCTATTTCGGTATCATATTCTTCCAAGATTAACGAACTTTCTTGTATCAAAAGTGATGGAAATCTGTCGCTTCTTTGAGTTCGCTTTTTTAAATACAAGAATAACCGTTTCAGACTGCATCTAGAATCCCTAACCAATTGTTTTTCACATGATCATCTAGTCTTACCTATTAACGCTTTACGGGCATTCCTAACTTTACAATAAGTGGATCTGTATTATTCTAAGCCAGTAGAGGTGAACATATTCCAGTGCTTCTTCCTTTTTCTAAGAAGTTTCCTGACCGTTTTAGTTATCCATGGTGGACTGTTATTTGGTCTTCGCGGTACCAGGTATTGGTATGAACGAGGACGTAACTGAATTAAACATACCTTCTTCAGCTTCTTCAGCTGGTAAGCTAGTATCTACAAAACATTCTATCTTAGCGGCGCATTCCTGAATGGCTGATATATTAGATTTCCATACATTTGGGCGAAGTGTAATCTGATCGTAAAACATGTCCCTCGTACTAAACGTGAATGACAAAACAGCGTGATCACTGTTCACTATCGGTTGAAGAATATTTAGGTCGACAATATCCTCAGTATCATGAGTGATTACTGAGTCCAACAGAGACGAACTTTGGTTAGCACCAAAACGTGTGGTTTTGGATACATATTGTATTAGTGCATGCTCCATTATTGTTACCAGGAACCTACTATCAAAGGAGTTTATAGATCTTTCTGTGGTAATCTGAGTCCAAAGTCTCCTCCTATCAAGCATCTGGTATTCGCACTCCAAAGATAAATGTGCTCTAAAATAAAGTCATCAGCTAAGCAGATTGAGCTGCGATAGATGGCACCGAGAATAAATGAACCACATCTGATAGCCAATTTACAGCTAATGACTTCAGAAGTACCGCTATCATGGGATTTGCCAGCATAGGAACGGATATTTATATTATTTGCTACATATAACAGGACGCCACCTCCTTTTCTACATCTGTGTCTATCACTCTCAAAGTAATGGTATCCGAATAATTCTGGTGTAATATCTAAGTCATGGAGTAACCAAGTTTCTGTCACTGCTACAATGAGTGGCTTTAATCTGTCCACTAGTGCTTCTAGTTCATAAAACTTATTCCTTAGACTACGAGCATTGGCATATAGAACTCCTAAATAGAACGGTCTATCCACACAGGCATTGGTAGCATTCGCTTCCAAGACCTGTTTATCCGAAGACCCACTGGCTGCAGAATTTCCTTACCGTTTTGCCGACGATTTTCTAGTTCAGCTAGTGCTCTCTTCCCTTTTATTCTATCTTCGAAAGACATATCAGGTATAACTCGGATGTCGGAATCGTCCTGACAACGAGCACTACTTAACGGGAGATCCTGTCGCTTCTCCGATTCGATCGTAAATGTTAACGGAGGTTTCAATTTTTCGTTCGTAAAAGTCGGTTGTTTAAGGCGTCTCGCAACAGCAGGTACTACACTGACACATTCATCACTGTCAGTGCTCGTGTTGTTCGCGAATGCGTCATCGTTCTTCTTACAACTCAAAGCCAATTTGCTCATAGCCTTCTGTATAAGTAACGTATTATTTACACAGCAAAACAAGCAAAGCCAATATGAGTTAGGCTTTGAACATCTTTTGAGTGCGGTGGGACTTAGGTTACGGTTAGGTACGGAAGAGATGCTGTTGTATTCCGATCACGAAGAGGAAAATACTCCACAAACTCTGGGAGTTGCTCTGATGCCCAACGAAGCACGAAATACACTTATAGGATGAGAATCTCATGGACTCAAGACCATCAAAGCATCCTTCAAAACAAAGAAGGAGCGAATTACAATGAATGTTATCCAGCGTTATGCACCCACCAATGCTGGCAATGATGACGATAAAGATCAATCATATTTGCATAAGGAGAAACATCACAAGGTCAATGGAGGACGTGAGAACCAGAAGAGGATTCGACATAGCCTCAGATTACCACCTAGTTGTGGCCAAGATGAAATTGACGCCAGAGAAGCATTGAAAAACTGAACAAACAGCATTACAAACGTTCAGTACAGCCTTTCTTCGAGATACTGACAAAATGAACGAATTCAAGGTAACTCTTAACAACAGGTTCCAAGCCTTACATGAGCCACTGAAGAAGAAACTACTGTGTAGGACAACTGGAAAGGGACCAAAGAAGCCCTGACCTCAGCGTGTCAGGAGGTCGTGGTCCGCAAGAAGCATCATCATAAGGAATGGATCTCGATAGAAACCCTGAACAAGATTCAAGAAAGGGAGAACAAGAAGACAGTAATTAACAACAGCCCAACAGTAGCAGAGAAAGCCAAGGCGCAAGAGGAATACACGAATGCAATGTTAAGAAACAACTACATGACACAACGAAGAAAATGACAGGGAAATACGCTAAACCAGAGAGACCGATCAGAAGGAAAGTGAAGCCCTTCATTGAAATTGAAGAGTAGATGAAGAGATGGGTTTTATACTTCGAGGAACTACTGTACGGAGCTGAAACTTGCAGAACTACCAGAACCATTTTCAAAAAGGTGCAAGGATTTATAAACAATTGTCTACATAAGATACTGAATGTCCGTTGACCGAAAACCATCAGCAACAGCCTATTTTAGGAGAGAACGATCCTCTTTCTTAGTTCATTACTCCGATCTTTAATGACTGTGTAAGCTCCCCTGGTGATATTCTACAAAATAAACTGTGACCTTCGCGATATGTAGGATCGAATGATGAACTTCAAAAGGGACCTCAAAGATTTTACTGAGTAAATTAAGAGTCCGGAAAATCGGACTTTTTGTTATTACCGCATCTCATCATTTACAAAGCAGAATGTACTGCCATTATTTGTGCGGGTGAATGCAAGTCTCAAATTCACCGACCACTGGACACTTCCATAATTTCACAATAAAGTGGTTTCTACGGGCCAAATCTCTTTGCGGAATTGTTTTTTCTGATTTTTTTCCGTTTGTGGTGGGATTTTTCAAACAAATTAGCGAAAGTCTTTGGTTTAGCACAGAATCTTCTTTTCAGCTTTTTCCGCTTAGTTCAAGCGTTGTTTTTCAAGCAACTATAAATCAAGTCACAGACTAATTTTGGAGTGACAAATATGGCTATAGAAGCCATAATCATAGACTTCAGATTGTAGAGTACCAACACTCCTAAATCTTTTTCAACTTGAGACACTTCTAGAGGGGAGTTGCATAAGTTATAGCACTAGGTCGGTCGCGGCACGGATATTCAGGTGGTAACACCTCTGACAGTGAATATAGGTGACATGAGATCGAATCCGTCAGAGAGCACCAGTTCCCTCAATATTACAGGTACACCTTGCTGACGAGTTTCAAGTAGCACTAAACCCAGTTTCAGTGTTTACTGTTGACTATCTCCGACCATCATCCTATTTCAACATAGTGCATGTAATGTCGAGTCACTTAGACCGGTAGCCACATTGTAACTTGGTCGATAGCATTCTATATGCACTATAAAGGACTAGACACACATGACATTGATCACCACCCAGTGACCAGTCAATTATGAAAACATAAAGGAGTCGTTATTAGTTGTGGTACTTAGACTTGAAGAGAAATACGCAGAAAACTGAGAATCTTTGCAAACAAACGGCATGCTAGTGAATGCGATGAAATCCTGTATTCACGTTTATCCTGT